ATACTTACAGAAAACGCTGATAACATCTCTTAATGCTCACTGAGCAATCGTGTAGACGTGTTTTTTTTAATCAATAGAAAATTGCTTTTCTATATATCCCTACCAAGACTGCTTCCTGGGACTATTGTGCAAAAATCCATTATGTTTGAAGTTTCATCTGGGTGATTTTATTTTTTAAAACTCAGCAGACAGCAGTAAGGACCGAATTATTTTTGTTCAGGTGGAACAGATATATATTCTGTAGCTTCACAGCAAATTTCCTCCACGTCATGAAGAGTGAGTAAGCATGTCTCAGTGTCGTAGCCTCTGAGTTCAGAATGCACAGTGCATTGATTGAGACTGAGTTTGCTTTGTCTTCTATTTTATTTGTTACTAGAGGCCCAATGCATGAAATTTGTGCAAGGGTAGGCCTTCCTTCCCCCAGCTGCCACCTTTGCAGCCCTGGCCCTCACCCACACCGTTCTTGGCCTGGCACTGCCCATTTCTGCTGCTACACCCCCCCAGCCCGGTTCCACAGAACCCCCCCCATTGATCGCCCTGCCGGCCTGTGGCCTGGGCCTCCCTCTGCAGGGCAATCATGGGGTGATGGTGGGGCCCCCTGACCAATTGCATCGAACCTGCCTTGGCTGGCCTGGAGCCAGTGCGTGTCATAGTGTGGTCATCTGGACAGTCATTCTGCTGTTTGGCCGTTCAGTCCATTTGCATATTATGCTTTTATTATTATAGATAACCAAAAAATTTTCCTTACAGCTGACACAATATTATATTAGTTTCACTATGTGTACAACATAGTGATTAGACATTTATATAACTTATGAAGTGATCACCCCAATAAGTTTAGTACTCACCTGGCACTACATACATTACAATATTATCTATATATATAAAAGCCGAAGGGACTGTTCGACTGGTAGCTATGACACACACTGACCACCAGGGGGCAGATGCTCAATGCACAGGCATGGAAACATGGAACAGACTGATGAATCTCAGAGGGAAGAGGGGAGGGAAGAGGGCTGGAAGAGATGAACCAAAGATCTTATATTCATACTAGAGGCCCAGTGCATGGATTTGTGCTCCAGTGGGATCCCTCGGCCTGGCCTGCGGGGATTGGGCTGAAACCAGCAGTTTGACATCCCCAAGGGGTCCTGGATTGAGAGAGGCTGCAGGCCAGGCCAAGGAACCCCACTGGTGCATGAATCCATGCATGGGCCTCTAGTTAACTATATTCCCTATACTGTACATTACATCCCTGTGACTGTTTTTACAAGTGCCAATTTGTACATCTTAATTCCTTCAACTTCTTCATCTAGTCCTCCAACTGCCCTCCTATCTGGTAAGCATCAATTTGTTCTCTGTTTCTGTAAGTTTGCTTCTGTTTTGGTTTTTTTTTTTGGTTTTTTTAGATTTCAAATAAAAGTGAAATCAGATGATACTTGTCTTTCTCTGACTTATTTCGCTTAGCATAATACCCTCTGGGTTCATTCATGTCAGAGATAGCAAGATTTCATTCTTTTTTTTTATTGCTGAGTAATATCCCATTGTATATATGTACCACATCTTCCTTATCCATTCATCTATCGATGGATACTTGGGTTGCTTCCATAAATAATGCTGCAGTGAACATAGGGGTACATCCATCTTTTTAAATCAGTGTTTTGAATTTCTTTGCTAAATAACGAGAAGAGGAATCACTGGTTCATAAGGCAGTTCCATTTTTAATTTTTTGAGGTAGTTCCATACTGCTTTCCAAAGTGGTTGCACCAATTTGCATTCCCATCAATAGTGCGCAAGGGCTCCCTTTTCTCCACATCCTTGTCAACACTTGTTATTTGTTGATTTATTGATGAAAGACATTCTGACAGATGTGAGGTGATATCTCAGTGTGCTTTTAATTTATGTTTCCCTGATGATTAGTGAAGTTGAGCATCTTTTCATATATCTGTTGGCCATTTATATGTCATCTTTGGAGAAATGTTTATTTGGGTTCTCTGCCTATTTTTTAAAAAAAATCAAATTGGTTTCTTTTTGTGTGTTAAGTTGTATCAGTTCCTTATATATTTTGGATATTAATCCTTTATTGGATGTACCATTGGCCAATATCTTCTCCCATTCAGTGGGTTGTCTTTCTGTTTTGTTGATGGTTTCCTTTGCTGTGCAAAAACTTTTTAGTTTGATGTAGTCCAGTTTGTCTTTATTTTGTTTCCTTTGCTTTTCATTTTTGAGGAACACATATTTACGTATTGTGAGAGTAAGTTTAATGGTATCACATAAAATGCTCTGTTCAGATTCACACTCACCTGAAATTTATTGTAACTTTATTTTGTGCCAGGCCTACTGGTCTAATTAGAGCAGTTTTTCCCAAGTGTGAATAGATGTAATAATGGGTACTCCTTTACCGTATTTTACATTGTTAAGTAAATGGGGGAAATAATATTAAGTTTAAGCAGGTGTTTTTTTCTTCTTCTTTTTTTAACTGTAGAAGCTTTAGAGTGTCAGCAGGCACCCTGGCTCTCCCAGAGGGAAGTGTAGTATGGGGCATTTTCCAAACTTACCCGATCACAGAATCCCTCATTCAAGAACACTTCAGGGAACAGGTAAGTCCCAGAATCCATGTTAGCAGACTCATCCTAGGCATTGTTAGGTGAGTTGATATCAGAGTGAGTGGTTCAGAGGAGGGACTGATCCCTAAGGTTGGCGGGAATCAGGGGGGCTTCATGAAGGAGACCTCTGAGCTGCGCCATGAAAGATGAGGTGAATGTCAACAGGCAGGACTGGTAAGCAGGAGCTGTTGGGGGGGCATGAGCAAGGACAGAGATGGGGGGCACACACTTTGTTCAAGGAGTGGCCGTGTCTCCTGCTATATCCACAGGGGGATCTTCTTACGTTCAAGTCAACATCCCCCAGACGACCACAGACCACAGATGGCCCCAGTCTACTCAGGAGGATGCAGGACAGGAAGGAGGTGGCACAGGGCAGCACCAGGCTTTCTGCTCTACAGCTGTAGTCATGGCAACAGTCCACGCAGGTTGTTTATACAGCTGTCCAGTGTTTTCTTTCCCCATCCACCCTGCCGGACAGCTCTGGAGCAAAGAAGGAGTTCTATTGGGCACTAAAGGAGGCCCCC